CAGAAAAATTCAAAACCAGTAACAACGAATAGCCTTTATAATTTGTCCTAATTGTTTTTACTTTTTTTTCTACGTTTGCAGGTAACGCTCCCGTGTAATAAAAACTTTCATCGCAATGATTTGTCTTGTTTCCCATATGAAAGGACTATCCTTCCATCCTCATTATTTAGCACTACTTCATTTTTTTAACTCTAGACATCTCGGCCTTTTTTATAATCCTTTTGCTCCTTTTAATCGGCCGATTCTTCTTACTGTTGCAATTCCGCAAGCATCTCTTCGTGTGACTTGCGTTTCTTGATTCATACTCATCGTGGCTATATCTTCTCTTTCTGTACCTTGGGAACGATTCGCTAATTTCCTGACTGACCCTCTCTTCACTCATTTCATGCGTCGAATAGCTGCTCCTGAATTCATTTATAAAGTTGTACATACGATCGAATCGTTCTATCAGCTTAAAGTAAGTAGCCTTATCGCTTTTTTTTATTTTGCTAAAAACAATATCATTCCCGTTTTCCATAAAGTCTGTATATATATTGTTGCTTGGGATGAATGCATTATTTTTTAAAAAGGTGTAAATATTATCAATTAGGTTTGCATTTCTTTCCTTTACTTCTTCTTCGTCCTCTATTCCTTTGGTATAGTATCCTTCGCACGATTCGATTTCTTTGTTCAGCATCTCTTTGATGTCTTGCAGCAGGGGAGGTTCTCCGTTCTGGTGGAAGTTGACACAGTTAGAGCACTTGGCGCAGTTGCCGTTAACCATAACGCCGCTACTCATGGCACCCCCGCACTGGGCGCAATTCTCCCCAAATTCGTACACGGAACTCCCAGACGTGATAGCACTTTCCACATGAACAACCCTCTCCTCTAACCCCATCTCCGTAGCACGATTGTACATATTCCCAGTGGTACACCCCGTTGACGTAGACGTCCCACTCCCTGCCGTTGTCGTAGTCGCATCCGTATTGTTGCTAATCATGTTGTTAAAATTGCTATTGTTCATGCTTGAATCTTTTATTTCACAAAAAATATCGGCAGTTTCGCTTCCTTTACTTTTACTTAGTAACTCGTTTAGCTCACCATGGGAAGACTCATGCATTTCGGGCTTCCCCCAGGTGGCCATGCTCTCAGGATCTCCCTCGATTCCCCCTTTTGTGTGTCCCTCTTGCATGTTGTCATAACTATCAGCGGGTCGCGTTTGGTAGGAACCGTAGGAGGCGCAATTCTGGGAGTTGTAGTCCGCGCCGTGGTACACACCCGGATCATCGTCGCGCACAGCGTCATGCATATCACCACTTCCACCGCCAGGACCTCCACCACCATCTGGTGAGGCAGCACCACTTTCATCGTTACAAACAGCGGAGTCCAATGTCCATGGGTTTTGACCCCTCTTTCCTGACTCGGTGAAGCGTCCCTCCACCTTATCCTTCAACATTTCGAAAATTATTTTCTCATTTCTCTCCTTAACATGTTCGTCACTTTTTATGTCCGCAAGAATGCGGCCATATTTTATTTCATAAGATTTGCTAATGTTTAGTAGCAGATTAAAAATATTCTCCTTTAGCATATGCTTCTTGTACAAAAAGTTATGTATGATGAGGTGTATGTTTGAATTGTGTATATTCATTTCATTGTTATTAATTTTGGTGAAAATATGATTGAAAAAGTTCACAGTCAAATTATCGTAAATGTTAATAAAATTCAACACGCTGCTTTCCAGGTTGGAGTTGTTTCTCAAGCATTCCTGATTTTTGTCCATGTCTATTTTTATTTCATTCAGGGGGGTACCAAAACCTCTTCCGTTTGCACATCCGCCGCTTGCCCCCATCTCACCTACACCACTATCGCCACTGTTCCCATCAGCTCCATTGTTTTCACTCCCGCTACCTCCATTTCCATATATCAATATTGGCACGTGGTTCAACTTCAAGTATCCATTGTAGTAATCATTCTCCGTCAAATTCATCTCATTGCGCTCATCGAACTTTTGCAAAATACCCTCATACTTAAATAATATGCTGATATTGTTGCAGTAAATTATGTTAAGGTAATGATTAATGAATTTTATATATGAATTCTTGTTGCAGCAGACACGCATGAAAAAATTTAAATTGTTAATCAGTTTGCTCTTCTTGATGTTCAGATAGTCGCTGGGAGTGCGTTCATTCTTCTCTGCAAAGGGAGGGGGGGGATTAGTGGTGGAAGAGGAAAACAATAAAACGCGTGAGCATACCAATAGACACATGTACATATATATACATGAGCATACGTGCGCACGGTACACAACTTTGCTGCTGTCTTTTCACCGTGCGACCGCTCCCGCTTCTTACAAACGGCGAACTTCTCTTTGGTTACCTTTCACTGGAGGCTTGGAACTGCTATGGTTCAATTTTGCCTTCTTGTGGTAAACGTCGGGGTTGACGTAACTTATGCTGTCCAATCCGCTGGCTAACTCTGCTCCGTCCTGTGTGCCAGTCGGATCTGCTGTGCCTTCTCTAGGGATATGACCAGTGACCTCTGCGATACCTTCTACCATACCTTCTCCGTTCATCATACTGGAGACCTCCTGAGTGACCTCTCCACTCGTCTCCCCACCACTATCTCTGCTCACATTTGCGCGCCCACTGTCACTCCCATTTGTGCTGCCGACCCCACCTACATGCACTTCGCTTCCAACGCTGTTGCGGCAGTCACCCCTTGCATCTTCCACATCACTCGTTTGAATGCTGCCAAAATTAAATAATTTGTTTTTCACATTATTCATGTAATTCACGCCCAAGGAATCTCCTTCGGCAAAGTTGTAACACCCCGGACTATTCAACATGAATTCGGGGAAACAATTTTTTGCCTCCTCCTGTTTAGCAAACATGTTAAAAGGACAGACACGTGCTCTAGGAGGTTAAGTATTTACAATGGAATTATTGGCTCAACGATGCAAATGACGCAATAACGCAAAAGCACAGTGTCCAAAATCTGTGAAGTGGACACGAAAGAGTGCTCAAGTGGCGGGACGACACGCAGCCAAACAACTCAAGAGGGGGAAAAAGTCGACCTCGTCAAAAATGAAAAAAAAAGGACGCCGTTCATGTAGCACTAACGGAGAAAATAAAACGTAGGAAAAAATGGTAATAGCAAAGTCGGTAAAAATGTAGCCAAAATGTTATGAAAAAGTAAAGTTAGCGGTCAAAAAGATGACAAAGTTTATAGGGAAAAATAATGTTGACAGTGTTGACAGTAAAAAGACAGATAACCACAGAGCTCGATTGTAAATGGTAACAACCAAATGCAAATGTAAAACGAGCGGAGATTCACAGTTACCTGTTGCACCCGTGCAATATCAAAAGAGGAAAAAAAAAAAAAAAGAAAAGAATCATCTGTCTTTAATTGAAAAAATAAACGAAAAGTGTATCCACTCGGCACCCCACTAAAAATGAGAGGCATAAACGACAGATTCAATATAAAATTATCTCATAACGTGACAGATATTTTCGGTTTTGCCCATTAGGGTTTTAACAACTTACAGATTTTGCAGGACCGCTTGCAAATGTGAACACAAGCGGTAAATTAAATGTGCAGCCATCACACAAGTGGCAGAAAAAATAGTATAAACGCCAGTTTTACAAGACACATAACAATGCAAAGGCGTCCACGATTAATGCGTGCATACAACTGGGGGGAATATACCACTCAGCATGATTATATGTACAGGACTGCAATGTGGCAAGGTCGTACCGATGCAGTCGTAATTAGAGTATCAAGTAGAGTGTACCCACCTACAGATGACAATATGCATGCAAACGCAAATGGGACGTTTACTTATGTATACTAAATTCTGTTTTTTTTTTTTTGTATTCATAATTCCCATATGCATATACACGTACACAAATTTGTGGGGACAAAAAAAGGAGCAAATTCTGCGAGAAAAAAATGTAAGTAAAGGACAGATAAAAATGCCAATTCGGATAAAAAACCAAAGTGTGAGACAAAATCGTGTACAATACGCTACAAAAACGTTACTGAGTTGTCACCAAACTTCGGTAAACAAGAGAACAGATAAACAATAATGCAGAATATATGGGATCATTGAAAAATGTAAAAATGTCAAATGAAAAAAAAAGGAGCCAGAGGGGGGGGGGAGCAGATAATAGAAATCGATTCAGAGTATATGCGAGTCTGGGGCAACGAACGTGAGAGATACAAACGACCAAACACAATTTTTCCAGAACTATCGAAAAAAAAAAATATTAATGTCTAATGGTATTTTCTCTCGAGCAAATGCCCCCTCTCTCGCTTATTTATTCTCTTATGACACGTTAACAAAAAAAAATAAAATAAAATAAACACACATGGTATACATACACATGTACGTACGTCATTATATCTTCACATAAGCACATCCACATGCATGTTGACAGATGTCTGCATACTCATTTTTATAAAATGTGTGTGGCAATTACCATACGTTAGGAGGTATGCTACGGAAGTGACGTAATCGTAAAAGTGGAGCTACCCTAATTAATCACACTTATGTGCATACAAAAAACACACGTATGTACAAGAACAACTATACATACATAAAGCACATGCACAAAGATCAAAACGCAGAAAAAAAAAAAAAAAAAAAAAAAAAAGGGAAAAAGGACAATACACATGATATATGCACATACGTGTACAAAAGGCACACAAAATAAATGTGCCTATACCCACGCTGCAAAGTATCAATGAACTTCTGCACAATTCACGCTTATATAGCTACAGAGGGATGAAGAGAACGTATCACTTTTTCTTTATTTCATCATCACGTAGGAGTTGCTACACCTTTATAAATTCGAATAAAACAACAAATTCAATTTTATGTGCCCCTTGTTATATGTAGACTTTTGCTTCAATATAGCATATCTAAAGAAAATCGGGGTGGGCATTCAAAACTGGCTCCTAGCTGCCCATACGTATGTAGTAATACGGACATATGTTCAGCTTCACACCCACAATATAACGTACGCGCGTGTGCACATGTACACATGCGAAAGTGCTTATGTTAGTTTACTAGGAAAAGGCATGTTCTCACGAAACGGCTAAGAGGCTAAGCAGCTAAGCAGGTACAAAACTAAATGAACTTTTTCAGAAAGCGACGTGCATACATTAATATTCTAAAATTTACTATACATTATGAATTCTTGGGGTGCAAAAAAATGGAGGCTTAAAAGTTATCGCGCATGCATATGTATACGCGGTTATGTGCACTACACAGCGCAGCAGCCTGCCACTAGTGCACGAAATCTTTATGTAGAAATGTTCAAAATGAGCACATGCAAAAAGGCTTCTATGTGCGAATATATAAATTTATAGGAAGCCAGGTTAACCTTCTCTATTTGGGAAAGAGAAAAAAAAAAAAGTTACAATTTATTCCTTCTCTTTATGAAAAAAAAAAAAACGAAAAAGGTATATTTTCACACAGAAGGCACACCTAAAGCGTGTAACGCGTGATGCATATGTTCCTACGCGGTTATGTAAATGCCAGGGTAGTATACCAACACATGGATATTTACATTCATACAAACACACATAAGAATGTGTACATTTATATGCACTCTTAATTAACGTACATACAGAAAAAGCAACAATTAGATAAAAAAATAATATAAAAAAATCTAATGTGTACTTTTTTATTCATTTAAACAGAAGCAACAGCAGATTCGCGTGCACGTGACCACATGTAGATATTTCTTAAAGTGTCATATGTAATGCCTTTAAGTAGAAGAACTAGCAAAAGGGGGATGTACTGAAATGCACGAATTCGAGCATAAAAATGCACCGTATATCTCTTCATACATGTATACGTAGTACATGCAAGCAGGCATTACACCGACATGAAACTATGTTAGACCTGTTCTACGGACAAAAAAAAGATAAAAAAAAAAAAATTTCTTTTCTTATTCGTCTATATAAGGACACAGAAAGGATTAGACAAACGCAATTACATTAAATTATCCGCTCCTTAATGGAACTAAAAAAAAAAAAAAAAAAAGAAGAATTCACACACGTATACATACGAATATCCATGCATACGGACACTTATATATTTATGCTTTCTAGTGTGCCCATGGCTTAAAAACTTGTCAAGTTATGTAAACATGGTCAATCTGCACACACGCAGCGATTTATAAATTTATGTCCTATACTTTTGCCCCCTCAAAAAAAAAAAAAAAAAAAAAGTGCACATATGAATGTATCACCTTGTGTATAACATTCCTCTGAAAATTTTATGTACATATACAAAATTTTCGAAGGCGAAATTTAAGCTACGCAAAGGGGAAATACAAAAAAAGGAATGAATGAGGCAGAAAGAAGGTGTTTAAAAAAAAAAAAATAAAAAAAAAAAAATAAAACTCATGTTACACTTTATGTGTGACGAGCCAAATGTGATACAGTTGGATGTGCATCTATCCAGGTGTTTTTCGTTCACCTTCATCCTCAACTTCTTTTTGTCCTTCTTTATCTTTTTACTCTATTCCCACATTTATCAAAAATTGACATACACTGCTATGAAGACAAATGTGAGGCAACTTAAACAAATGCAGAGGACCACACAATAATGGCATACATGAGAAAGCCAGGAGGAACGGACACAAACACACTTGCGCTGCACATGCTTGGGCCCGATCGGTTTTTCGCGAATAGGACGTATTTCACATTAAGCTATGTGTGAGGGTATATTAGTAAAGGTAAAAAAAAAAAAAAAAAAAACACAAAAAAATGCGAAAAAAACCTAACAAATTGAAAAGGACGCGAGAAGAACGCGGAAATATACAAAAGGACGTGAAAAAAAAAAAAAAAAAAAAAGAAGCGAAAAAATGCAAGAGAACGTGAAATTGCCAAAAAATGGTAAACCGTGCCAAAAAAAAGTCCAGTTCATATTTTCACCCCAAAGTAACTATTCTTTTTTCACCATTTCGTTGAAGAAATTTATCGCCCCTTTTTAAAAGTGTTCATCTAATGATGCACTCAGTCATTAACCTTCATCCTTTACCTTCGATCTGAAATGTGCGCCATGAGCGAATATATATAATGCATTTATATATATATATATTTATACATACATTTATACATACATTTATACATGCCTTTATATATTCCATTTATGGTATGCCTGTACATGCATATACTTAGGCTCGAGTTCAAATTAATTCACACATGCGTCCTGGGCTGTATGCACATACTCGCTCAAGCGCACATGTTAATTCCTTCTGCTCCAATCGATTCATCATATATCTACATGGCGCGTGATGCTCAACTTGGAACTTGAACACAAATATATATAACGTTCTTTCCTTTTTCTTTTGTTCTAAAATTCGGCTACCTTCCGCTTTTTACGCAGATGGGCATGTGCCTGGTGTGTATGCGTTTACGTTCTCGGGGGATGGGCGTGCACAAGGTTCTTTTTTGTTTTTTTTTTTTTTTTTTTCACTTTTTAGCTTACTTTGTCCTTTGCTTATTATTTCTCTCTATCTCTCTAGCTCCCTTTTTTATTGTATTATTTTTTTTTTTTCAAATGATCACATATTCTCGGAGGGTGCAGATCGACTAAGAAAATACATACGTACAAAATAACATGCAAATTACTCCAGGTACTCTTTGCCCGTACGTTTCACGCTTTCCGTTGCACGTGTTAGGATACGCGTAAAGTTAGCCATTTCGTTACGATGGATTCATGAAACACTCGCATTGGTGTTTGCATGTGTACATGGTCTTAGTGTCCACTGCGACATTTTTTTAGCCACCACACGTTGACCTACGAACATTTGCCAAGTCCTTTTTGCTAACTGTTCACCCTTATGTTTGTGCACATTTACTAGGCGCATGCCACGG